TCCAGAGACACGTAGTCAGTCATACGTGCTCCTCACCCCATGCAGTAATGCAGCAGGAACTATCTGAACTGCTCTGTACAAACCTCTGGGCTTTGTGGTAAATATGTCCAAAACTTTTCCTTTCTATTTAGCCATAGGTTCACCTTCAGACTTTCTCTATTGATCTCTCAGTATGTTTAAGGGTAATAGATTAATGGTATTTGGTGTATAAGGTTCTTTTCCCTAGAGAAATGTCAATTTTGCAGGTGCTGAATCATAACTAGTTATGAGACCATTCATATTTTTGTTTCTTCTCTGTGACAAAAGACTGGAGGAAGAGACTTGGCAGCTGCTTCTAGTTATTCAGTGGAGAAATCTATCAGGGTGATACATGTATGGATTAAGACAATTTATGCAGTGCAGCCCCATCAAACATAGGTTTTTACTCTGTTTAATAAGGTAGAGACTGGCAATTGCAATGTGTGAGTTGTCTGGAGCAGACAAGCAAGACAAGCCTTCCCACACAAGCATCCATCTCAGCTGCCAGCAGTGATCCTGCCACCACTGCTTGATTCCAATATCCCAGCAAATAAATAAACATTTTGTTGCTGTGTTTAGAATAACAAACACATCCATCTTGTAGCAGGTGTTCAGTCGGTGGCCTCATATACTCCAGTAAGGCTGAGCAGGGTTCAGGCAGTTTTTGGCCAGCCTATCAAGAAGCTGCATGGCTTCTGCTAACTGGCTAAACCAAGCAAATGGTTTTATATCTGCAGCGGGTAGATCTGTAATTTCTGCAGCTGCTTCTGTCTCATTATCTGTTGAGGACGTGAAGAGGAGACAAGCTGGTGGGTTCCCATATAGTATTTTATGTCACACATACATGAAAGTTATCTCACTGGCCTTTTGTTTATCCTCACTGTCATCTATTTGAATCCTATCACTGTGTTTTCAAAGGACTCCAGTGTGCAATCTGACTTTGCAGATAATAAATGGTCTTTTCATTTTTTTCCTGTAATCCATATGCTTCATTTGCCACACTGAGATGTCTTCTCTTGCTCTTCACAAGTATCCCACAAGCAAAGGCAGTGCCCTTCCCAGGTTGGGTACATGCAGCTCAGGGAGCAAAGTGCCACTTGTCACAGCTGCTAGTGGCACAGGATAAAACACTAATCTTTTATTAAGCGAAACATAATCAGCAACAAACATTGCACCATGACAAAACACTGAGGGGAGAAAATGGACTTCTATGATATACTGTCCAAGTCAGGTGTCAGTCCACCTGGAGAACTTTTGTGACCAAGAAAAGATCATTCTGCCTGTCAACCAGTGCTTCATTCTTCTGATTGTCAAACATAATGTCAATCCTTCTTCATATCCTATTTCATTTTAAGCTTACTGTTCCTGCAGTATCCATGCACATGCAGATACTGCCAGGAGTAATGAGCTTAAAATGAAGCATTATATTATTCCCCTCATGCAACCAACCCCACCTCATTCATGGCCCTAACTTCCCTTAGTGTTTGTCTTTCCTCCCAGCTGGTCCCTCTTCTGTCACCTCTCCATCTTCCTCCTCCAATGGTACTCTGTAAGCCTCCATACTGGTAGTGTGACATCATATTTTTGTGCTCTCCCCACTACTATATCTGATTAATTGCAGTTATCCACCCAAGGAGCAAGTGACAAGGGGAAACGGTTGCACACTAAAAGAGGGGAGATTTAGACTGGATATAAGAAAAGAGTTTATTACAGTAAGGGTGGTGAGGCACTAGCACGTGTTGTCCAGAGAGGTGGTGGATGAGATCCCTGGAGACATTCAAGGTGAGGCTGGATGGGGCTCTGAGCGCCCTGATCTGGCTGTAGGTGTCCCTGTTCATCGCAGGGAGTTGGACTAGATGGCCTTTATGGATCTCTTCCAACTCAAACAATTCTAAGGTTCTATGATTCTATCCCTGTCTCTGCAAAGCTGCAACCAATTATTCTTATGCACTCTCAGCCTCAATGAGCTGTACACTTTTTCCACTGATGTAGCTTTGCTAAGTCCATCCTGAATGCTGGCTCTGTCTGCCAGTGCTTGCAGTCCCTCCCAGCCTGGAGATTTAGTAAATGTGCTGTTCCTGATGGGAGCCAGCTTGCAACCGAGTGCTATCAGACCTGCAAAACACCAGTTGTTATGTTTTAGCAAAGAAGCTTCAGGAAGAAAAAAAATACTATTTGTTGCAGCAATTCTGCCACAGCTTGTTTGCAGCCTGGGTTCAGCAATGTGTTTGATGCTAATGGGCTAGTGGCTTTGCTAGTAGAAGAAGCTGATGCATGTGAACCCTGTCTGACCCACAGCTATGGGAAATGCCAGACACCCCCACAGTGCATTTGACCTCCCACGTAGAATGAAGAAATGAAGCATGGGGGACAGACAGCTGCTTCCAAGCCCCAGCAGCCCATAACACGGGAGGTCTGGGCCAGCCTGGATTCTCAAGGCAAATTATATAGAGTGAAGTTGCACTGTCCTCAATGTGTCCTCCCCAAAAGCAGGCAGAGCTGTCTCAAATCACTCATTCTGAGCTACAGCAACAAGTTTCAGGAGTTGATTTAGTGTTAGAAAACAATTCCCCTTTGCAGCTTAAATGTACTGCTTCTCAGTGTAATTGAATTTCCCCCGTTGTTCCTTTTCATTACAAGAAGATGGATAAGTGCTGGATTTACTCTTCTAAACATGCTCTTTATATACTGTCACATCCCTTTTCATTTGTCCCTTTTTTTGCTGAACTCAAGAACTCAGCTTTCATTCCTTTTTTCATAGAAATTTTTCACTCCTAATTGTTGCTGTTGCACATCTGGACTCAAATTTCAGCTATGGATTTTACTGTGGGATGTTCAAAAAGAGTTTCAGGCCAGGTATCATAGAATCACTAAAAATTAAAGAATCATTAAGATTGGAAAAGGCCACTGAGATCATCTAATCCAACCATAATGGTGCTCACAGCCAGGATTTTTGTGATGTACAGTCTAACTCAGGTTTTGGTCCACATGGATGAATCTTACTCCAGTTCCAGTTGCTCTGGGGAGGAGAGGTTTCCACCAACAGGCAAACAAGAGCTCTCCAGTGCATTTTACAGAGGAGCCATAGTTGCTGTAGAAATATAGCTGAGGAATCTGAGCTAATTACTTGCAAATTGCTGTGCATTTACGACTTCTAGTTAGCCGGTCTTAAGACCTATACAGATGCTATTCTGGAAACCTGCTGTGTGTGGAGGAAGTCACTGCTGATGGTGAGTGCACAGCATGAGTTGTGGTACAGTACTCATGCAGAACTGAGCAAGAGTTAGCACTCTTTGGCCTCTGGTGTGAAACAGGCCACTGTGTCTTAGTCTCATTACCTTATATTCATGTGTATCACTACAGTGCATCCTCACCACTTGCAGCAGATTTAGCTTTCTCCTGGGGTTCACCCAAGCTGGCTCCTAATGCTTTAGGAACCAGAGAAGCCAGCATCCCTTTAGTAACCTTTCCATGAGCTAACAGCTTCCAGCAGGGTTTGCCAATGCAACAGTGTGCCATCAAGGCCCAAAGAGGCCATTTCTGCCCCTAGTCAGGCAATCCTGAAGCCATCCCTTTTCCAGGCTAGCTCAGCCCAGTTGCCCTTGCATCTCCTCACAGATCAAGTGCTCCAGCCCCAACAGGTTAGGGAAGATCTCTGTGATCTCCCTCCCACTTGTCCATGAGTTTTGTGGAGTGGAGGGCCCCGACTGGATGTGCTCACCTAGATGACATCTTAACAGCAGCCAAATAAATCATCGCTTTATCTATTGGCTAAAATACTACCACAAATTTCTCAGAGTTTGTTTTCAAAGACAGAGGAGTTCCCAAATCCCATTCACAGACACCTGTGCCTGCATAACTGAGATGGTACCATGCTGCCTTACCAAGGCAGTACTCCAGGAGGGGAAGGCAGGCTAAGAAAGATGGATGCTTTAGTGGGGCCTCTCATGACAGGACAAAGGGAAATGATTTCAAATGAAAATGAGAGATTTAGATTGGATACAAGGAAAGAGATTTTTTATGATAAGGTTAGTAAAGTACACAAACAAGTTGCCCAGAAATCCAGGATGTCCCATTCTTGAAGACATCCAAGGTCAGGCTGGATGCGGCTCTGAGCACCTTGATCTACCTGTAGGTGTCCCTGTTCATTGCAGGTGTGTTGGCCTTTTAAGGTCTCTTCCAACTCAGATGATTCTATGAATCTAATGTAAGGAAGGGCTTGAAGAGACCACTGCTGTGGGTCACTTTTTACTGGGGAATCCAAACCTGATGTATTTTCATCAAATAGGCCTCATACTTCTCACCCTGGCTGTATTATGCCCCTTTCCAAAGGAAGCAACCACTTCAGTATTTAAAGATTTCTGCCCATATCTATTTCTACTTTCCAATACAAATCACCCACTCCTTACAGTGCAAACATGACTGGCTGCATTATTGATTGATTGATATTCATTATTTCAGTAAAAAGGGCAGATATTTAGGATATCTCTCATGAGTGACTTATTTGTGCTTTACGATAGCCAGCAAGGCAAGTTTGAAAAAAATGCTCTCATCTGACTCCACAGCTCTTCTGTGAACAGCAATACATGTTCCTCTTCTTTGAAAGTGCTTTGGATTCATTTTTTATCACACTCAATCCTCAATCCTTATTCAAACTAAGAATTATTCCATTAAAACATCTATGATAACTTTTATTTCTTATCATGGGACGTATCTTCTTAAGTGATTGGAAAATATGTTAATTTGTCAAAAGAGTAAAGTTACCTGCACGACCCTAGTAAAGAAGGTATATAATATATTATATTACAAGGTATATATAATATATATATATTATATACCAATAAATATAAAATGCACCATCGGAAGTATTTGAAAATTATCTCTATTCAAATGATTTTGAATAAAGTCAGAACCAGACAATGTTATGTTACAGCCCAACGAGGTATAGTGCCTGCTACAACAGAAAAGGACAACAAGAAGAATTCATGATTGCAAATTTATTACATAGAACAGTAAATTCCAGACAACTCAGTCACGTAATAGACAGTGCAACAAGAAGTCTCTTGCTTTTGTATAAACCAAGTTGTTGAGCTGGTAAGTCAACCCACAGACTTCATATTCCATGGTATTCTGAAATAAATTAATGCAATGTCATATGTTATGCTGAAATGTTGATCTGTATGTGATTTAGTATTCAGTTATGTATGTTTAGCCCTTCCTAAAATTAGAAATGAAATCACCTGAAATTCCTGTACCTTGAGATAAAGATAGGCGAAAGTCTGAAATATGGGATTAAGTACCCCGATCTGTTAGGTGCATTCAAACATGAATCCTCCCTCCTCATGCAGTTCTGCTCTCTCCATCATATCCCAACTACACTGACTTCCTTTCAGAAGGGTGGAGGCACAGCGCTGATCCTGCAGCCCAGCTAACTCAGGGCACTGAGCTGTGGGTAAGAGCAGAGCAAGCACACTGTTATGCTGCTCCATAACACTCTTCCAATCATTGTCTCCCTTCTTTCTGACTTCATCTTAAAAATACAGTAAAAGCATTCTTTGCTTGTTTTCTTTGCAGTATTTCTTTGCTACTTGTCTGACCTGTCACCCCAGATAAATAACCTTTCCCGTCAACACTTGGATGTGATTCTTAAATGCAAACAGATTGATTTTTTTTATTGTGGCACAAAAGATTGGAAGAAAAGAGTTTGAAGGAGTAAATGCATATACACTGATTATTTTCTGCGTTTTCCATTAAAGCACACTGAGACATTTAATATACCCTTTCAAAAATGGATAAGGAAGAACTACATGATACTACTAGATCTTACTGTCTTCCTTCCTTACATCCCCATTCTTGCTCTTTCTACTCAGGTTTACTCCAAGAAGACCTAAATATGATGTAAAGATTACTCCGATCTGCATGCAGAGGTCTTATTAGTGGGTTCTCACATGGAACTAGGTGACTGAAGGTCGCTGGGAGCAGAGTTGAGTCCACATTTATTATAGGGAAGGACTTGCTAGCTTTTGTGTTCCAAGTACAATATACACCCACTAGAAAAAAAAGTCATTTCTGTATCATTTCTATCATTTTACAGAGGGTGAAAATACTTCCTGAATGAACCTCAAAGAAAATTCTTTTGTCAAGAGCATATACCATAACACTTTGAGCAAGAAAGAATTTCTGTCCCAATGGCTTTCAGTGACCATATGAAACATCCACATGGGTATCTAGGTTTGTACTAGGTTCATACAACTCCTCAGTAACTCCTTCATTATTGAAATATGGAACAAGTTCTGGTTGCTTTTGGATGGTCTACTCACCACTGCCTTCAATAGTTCTTCCATTTCGAGGCTGAAAAATAAAATAATGGAAGGGCTATACAGAGCTATTAGATGTCAGATATATAAACACAGCCAAATACATCCCCCATTAAGGCTGCGCTAAGATTTCTTTTAAAGAGACATGTTAAGTATCACAGGGAGCCATGTAGGGTGGGTTTTGACTGTGAACCCAGGAAATTTTGTTCAATCTGACTTCTATTATTCTAAGGATGTTGGTCCCAGCTCATCGAGGAACTAAGTAGATGCCTAACAAAGAACATACAAACACCAGCCCTGAAAGTACCCGACTAGACTCTGAATTGACACAATGGTTACATGCCAAAACCTTTTTAGATTTCTTTTCTGATACGTTGAAAACATTCCTAAAAACTAGCTTGGTGTTAACCTTATAAGGTTAATCATATAATCATAGACCTGAGTATTCTGAACTAGACCATGCCACAGTTTAAGCCAATGGGTGAAAAAAAGTGAAGGAAATGAGGATGTTTATAACACTGCTTTGGCTTTTCACTGTTATGCAGCATGCCACTGCCTACTAGCCAGACCTTCCAGACTATGTGGAAAATCAGCTCATGCATCTGCTTCATACGGGGAATTTAGTATGAAGGCACCTTGCCCATCTGTGACAAACAAGCTACATACTACTTCTGTCTTTAGAGGAGGTGAATGGAGACATCCACACTCACATCTTACAGTAAAAAAAGTTCAATCCATTACCACTCCAGATCTCATTATCTTGTGGTCTTTTAGCTGAACCAGAGTTTTTTAAGCAAATGGCTTTTTCAGCTTTCAAACAGAGGGGGATTTGATGTCTAACCAAAACAAGTGTGGTGAGAATTTGTGAAGTGAAGCAGGTGATGGTATATGGATATAACACTGTCTGTCACACAGGATCTGTAAGAAATTCAAATACCCTGAAAAGGAAAAAAGGCCGTCCCAGAGTCCCATGACTATCCTGTAAAATAAAACACAAGCCATTAACAAAATATTTTAAACTCTGTTCCATAGATCTGTTGACAAGTTTCGGTGTCATTCCATCAGCCTACCAATAATTCAGGGCCTCTTTCAGCAGCATGCAAATAGCAAGATGCTGAAAGTCTCCAGTGCCCATTCATCTGGACTGCTGATTAAAAATTAATACCCAAAGGGCACTGTCTACAACGATCCATTCTGTCTAGTGTAAATATACTAAGTTACCATAATTAAAGATTCACAGGCTTGAGAAGATGTACAGAAGAAGCTTTACACATAGTACATTGCTTTGCAGAAGCAGGGTCTGCTTAGCTCTTCCCAATCACTTATATAAGTGATTAAAAACATCACTTATATAACTTATATATCACTTACATACTCCTACTTACTTGCCATTACATTTACATACCTTCTTTGTAAACTCTGCAGCAGCAACCTGTGATTCCTGCAAGTCAACAATGTAAGTTAATCAAGATGCCATCATTTTTGTTTGTTTGTTTGTTGTAGTAATCCTCTGTCACTGATTAGGTTTTCCACTCTGAGACAAGTACACACAGAAGACAGCTTACAACAACAGCAGCAAATGGATCTTTTTGAAGACTTATTGTAAATCCCACTTTAACCAACTCCACTGTTCAACATGCTTTTATTTCTGGGGAGAGAAGCAGAGCTCAAATGGGCACGAAGCATAGCAGTCCACACCTCCGGCTTAAATGGTCCTTGATAGCTGTTCCCCTCTTTAAATGGGGCTGCTCTCCCGCTTGAAAATTGCCCTTATATTTCAACCCAGGCATTACTGCTGATGCCTTCCAGCACACCCCTCTTACTCTTCATAACATTGCTCATTTTTCTACATCAGAAATAGAAACCTTCCCCGCAATTTCATGGGAACAGAAGCAGCCAGGTGTTTCACAAAGCCCTGAACCTGCTGCCCAGTACACTTGCAAGGTTTGAAAGCTCTTCTGCCTGCAGCACTGCTGCCCACAACCACGTATCTGGCTGGCTGGGAACAGAACAGCTCCAAGCCACAGCCGCCGCTATGCCAGTGAATGGATTGAGTTGTCCAAGAGGAGCAAAGTATGAAGATGGGAGAAGAGCACAGGTAAAGCATGTGGGTGGGAAACTGGGGAGAAGGAATTTAAAAAGAAAATATGCAAGAAGGAATGAAGGAATTATGAAGGAATTGGGACTCGGGCAATGCAATGAGGATTTCGCCATTGTTTAATTGTTCTTGGTTCAAGGCACAAGGAAATGATGAACAGAGCAGGTCCCATTAATGTCAGCTCAGTACAAAACAGTGCAGAAGAAAAAAAGTGCATGTTCAGTCAAGATAAAAGGACACAAATGGGGACACTACGAAGATATGGTGGACACTAGTTGTTGAGAGATGATTATTGGACATCAAGCAGAGAAAAACACCAGCACATAACTTAGACTCACTTTCAGATGTCCTAGCTAACGGGATTTAATTGTATGGAAGAAGCATGGCAACAGGTGAGCTACTAAAAACTGTGTATTGGCTTGATTTAGAAAGGGATTTTCAAATCCTCTTTAGATATTATTTCCTATTGATTCCTTTGAGACTGCCATCTACAAGATTTGTTTGATAATTAGACATTGAAACTAAATAGTCCACTAGTTCTCCCAACAAGTTTTTTAGGTACAGTTCTTCCGCATCTCACCCTTTGCTTTTGAGCCTCCACTTTGTCAGACAACACCTAGAAATCCTATTGTAGATACACTGCAAGTGTTTGTTGTAACTCTTGAAAAGACACTGTAAGATCCAGCTTCCAGCCTTGAGTACTTGCAGAGTGAATTTTTGGTAAGGTTAGTTACTAAAGTAGTAACTAGGAATGGCTACTGGCTGGTTCTGGGTGTTTCCTCACTAGCTAAACTATAGAAGCACAAAGCCAATAGAGAAATGCTAGAATTTTTATATAATAAACTTCAGTATTGTAGAGTGTTACAGCTGCTTTAGGAAAACATGCTTGGAATTATAATAAGGCAAAGACACTGGCAAGAAGAGTTGTTCGAAATATCTGTCAAAATACTTTCTACTGTTGTCTTGAAGGCTCTATTTGTGATTTAATAAAACAGAGGAGTCAAACTCCACAAGTGAAATAGCTTTAACATACCTACAGGCAGTATGATTTTTATGGGAAAGGCAAACTGTTGATAATAGAAAGCATTTTAAAGCAGAACTGATATTGAGCTAGGTCCTAATACTACCACACCACTGAGGAAGAGCTATACCCAGTATAGCTCAGTGTACACATTATATATACACTCAGCAACTTCTCAGCTTAAGTTTTTGGATCTGAATCAGAAAGAAAAAAAAAAACAAACAAGCTCCAATAAAACTTAAAAATTAACAAAGCAGTTCATATGCTTCCACGTTCAGCATGATCTTAAGCATGCTGTTGAACCAATGCTGTGTATTTTTTTTAGTATGTTTAACCCTCTATTATGCAAAAGTGGGGGCCAATTTAAAATACTAACCTCGTTTGTAAGTGGATGTTTAGCTCTGATCCAATTAAAAAAAAAACTTGATTTCTAATATAATAGCATTAAGTATTACATGAAAGCACTACTGAGAAAAAATATTCTTTCATTGGTACTTTCTTGCATCTCCCAGACTATGACAATGTTAGATTATATGTTATCACTTGGAAAAGGTCTAAGGAGGGGATGCTTTTAGGTAAAAGCAGCAATTGCACCTTACCTCATTTGTTTGCATGCTGTTGAATATGGAATAACAAAGATCCAAAACAGTGCTGGAGATCTGCAAAACCAAACAGTTCTGTAATACAATTACTGATAGGACACCATGTACAGGGTCTTACAGAGAACAGTTTTACAGGCTTCACCCAAATCCCAGCACAATTTAAGTATTATGTATGTGGTTCCAATAAAACCACTCAGAGCAAGGTAAGGCTTACTGATGTTAGTACATGATGAAAAACAAGTATTTTGTTATAAGGAGCATACAGAAAGACTTGTGTTGTCAGTAGAGCCTCTTGCTATAAACAGACTTAAATGAATCACTTACATTTAAGATGCTCCATCCTATGCCAAGTGTTCCAGAATTAGCTGGGTTGGGATTTGTCTTTGTTTGCATTTTTTATCTACACTCATTCATCTATAGGCATTTCAGGAGAAGCTGTTTGATGTAGGTTTGATCACAGAGGCCAGTATGTTCAACAGAGATAATTTTATCTTATTAGATGCTAAAAATCAGTCTGGTCCAGTTGTACACCTGCAGGACAGATGATGAAGGGCCAGAGAGTAACTCTGCTATATCAGTGACAAGAGCTGCTCCAGTGGGTTTTATCTCAGGACTCCCGAGGAGAAGGAGAGAGCAAAGATGGGATTCACATGGGGGTCCCATACTCACAGGACAAGGGTTTGCTTATGTACGTGATCACATCTCAGACAAGAAATAAGGAAATAAAACGCAAGACAAATAACCACCTTTGGGAACTATTTCCCACCAATCTTGTTCAACAAAACTGGAAGATACGAGGGGAGAAAGACGACAACAACAACAAAACCAAACAAAATCAATCAAACAAACAAACCACCACGCACAACAAAACAGTTGAAAGTTTCCATACAACTTCTGATGGTACGAAAACGCTGAGCCCAACGGCAGCTTACCTGGGGCTGGTTGGACAGCTCCATCCACTGACTGAAGCACAGCGCCAGTTGCTTACGAAGTACAGAGCGGACGTTAGCGGCGGGGCTGTCCCCAGCAGCCAGCAGCCCAATTCCCTGACCCCTCACCCAACCCCCGGCACGAGCGCCCTACCTGGCTCTTGGGCAGCTCCGCGCCGTCCCTGTAGCGAGAGAGGGGCTGCGGGAATCCTGCGGAGAAGGACACGAGGGGGGGCGGTTCAGCGGGGCCCCGAGGGCAGCCCCTTTACCCTTCGGGCCCCGCACCTACCGGAGCCCCGCGGCAGGGCGCAGAGGCAGCAGGCGGCCAGCAGCCAGGGCAGCGCGGGCGGCGGCAGGAGCATAGCGGGCGACCGAGGGCGGCGGCGGGCGGCGGCTTTATGGGGCCGCACCGACACAGGGGCGGCACCGGCCGCGGCCACGGCCCCGTTCTGCCGGGCCCCCGCCCCCGCCAAAGTGACGGGGAATTGCGCGAAGGGGCTGAGAGCAAGACAGGCCGAGCCTTCCTAAAGTCTTTTTTTTATATAGACTTCGAGTTTGCTACAACGAGTGCATAAATTCCTCGTGTCCCACTGTAGCATAGGAGTAGGGATTTGATTAGAGAGGAGATGCAAGAAATCCACGTCACTTTTCGGCAGTAACTGTGCTTTGCCCAGGCCTTGACAGTTTGGGACTGGAGAGACCTTCTCGTCCCTTTCAGACAGTACAGCGTTTGTGTTGCCACACTTAGTGCAGAGTTTGCACCCAGATCACTCCTACAGTACAGGAACAGGCATCTAACAGATCCGTTCAGTGTTAGTTGCTGTCTGTGTACTGAACAGTAATTCCTTCAAACACTAATTACTTACTACATTTTAGAGTAGAATACAATTACACGGCTACTAATTTGCTACTAATGATTAAGTATAATGGGCCAGACCCAGTTCCTTCAGCCTTTCCTCATCAGACTTCTCCAGTGAAGAAAGGTTGAGGCAGCAGGGGTTTTTCAGCCTGGAGAAGAGGTGGCTTAATGCAGCCTTCCAGTACTTGAAGGCAGCTTATAAGCATGAGGCAAATGGACTTTTTACATGGTGTGACAGTGATAGGACAAGGGGAATGGCTTTAAACTAAAAGAGGGGAGATTTAGGCTAGATATTAGGAGGAAATATTTAACTCAGAGGGTGGTGAGGTGCTGGCACAGCTGCCCAGAGAAGCTGTGGTGCCCCATCCCTGTAGGTGCTCAAGGCCAGGTTGGATGGGGCCCTGGGCAACCTGAATTGGAGGGGGACAGCCCTGCCCATGGTAGGGCTTGGGGCTGGGTGGGCTTTGAGGTCTCTTCCAACCTAAGTCATTTTTTATTCCTATGATTTTCTGATTCTGTGGTTCTCTGGCTTTCCCTGTCTGATAAGGAAAACTCAGTTTGCTCCTTTTTCCTTCAGGCTACTCATTATCTGCCTAAATTCTGCTTCCATCCTACACAGCCAGTTCAGTAATGGCCTCTTCCATCTATTTAACCATGTCAATTTTCAGGAGAGTGAAGTGATTGCTACATCATAGAGAAAGGTCTGTGTGACCATGCTGAGCGGGTAAGGCTTACCTCTCTTTGAGGAAAAATACGGGGTGCTGCCTGCATCTTTCCTTCTTCCTTTTTGAGCACAATGCAGCACCCACTGCTTTGTTTCACCCTTTCCAAGTGGATATCCTAAATGTATCCTTCAGCAAATGTTGGTCCTGTGAAGCCTGTGGAATTACTAATTTGCTTCAGGTGAGGTTTTTACATAAAGATCAGATTAAAATTAAGTCATGTGTGTTCAATTTTAAAAAAATAAATCAGTACTTATTAGCAAACTGAAAATAGGATTTTATCAGCCACACTGCAGTGTGAGGGAAGAACTGGGAAAAGTATTTAAATGCAACAATTCAAATAGTTAAATGTGTCACATTTTGAACTTATCCATTATCCTTCCTTAAATCAGAACTTTCTGCAGCTGCTGTACATTTCATTTCACAGGTGCTAGATCAGGTGCAGTTCTGCCAATGGGTTCATCAGCACCAAGGCAGATTAATGAGCCACCCTTTCAATGTACAGGGTCCTGGACTTCCTGCATGCTAAGAGATAGGTTAAGCGTTTCAGCGCCCACAGTTATACGTGAGCAAGTTAAAATGAAGCTTTGGGGGAGTGTCAATGGGAAACAAGAGAATCTTTGTGGTGAGTCAGGAGGGTTGGTGTATATTTAGTAGCAGTAACATTAATTTTCCATTAAAGCATGCTGTGGTAGATAAATGAAGAATAGAAAGATAATTTGGCTTCAACAGGCATAAGGATGAAGACTGTCTTTTTTGCAAATGATCTCTGTGGTGATACCAGCAGTTCTGCACGCAGCAAAGGCATGATCCATAAAACGTCACCAGTGTTCAGCTCCTAAGTGTATTAAAACTGGCTGCTGCTGCCTCCTTGTGCCTTGCACCCTTTGCAGCTTGACACTGCTCAGTGGAAAGCCAAACCATGGACCTGTTGGAAAGATGACAAAATGCTGCAGAAGTTGCAGGGTACTTACTAGGCAAACTTGGCACAAAGCCTGCATGCATCTCCCAGTACTCACCCTGTATTAAATATGACACTGCTCATTTATCTGAGTATGAGGCTGTGTTGACTGTGAATTTAATCAACATACACTTCATTTCCAGTACAGACAAGCAGTCCAAACAGCGGGAGCTTCTCTCATTTTTGTGCCTAGTTGGGCAAGGCTCAAGTTTTGTAAAACAGAGGTCTTGTACAGGTGTGGATTTGGTTGTCAGAATGTCAAACAAGTGCAGAATAAGTATTTTTCTTCTGTTTGTGGTTGGATTGCTGTACTTTGCAGATATAATGCCATGGTCTTAAAGTGCAGTAGGTCAACAAGGAAATGTTTGAAGAAGGTCAGTAAAAATGTACCTCATACAGTCAGAGATTAAGGACAAAAAGATAACCAAGAGCTAAACCATGGAAAAGTAGTACAAGTACGCTCCAAGTACACTCTCCAAGTACAAGTAGTACAAGGAGAAGCTAGGATCTAGACTAGGAATCTGAACTGTTACCTTCTTTTGGATCACTTCTTGGCTAAATTTGATTTTATGTCTGCTACATGCAGCCAGAGAAATGACTATTCCTCAGAAATTAAGAAATTTATACTTACCATGCTGTACTGTATGGAAATGAAAATACATTAGTGGGCTATACTGTGCTATCTGGGCTGAAGGTTCGCTTAGATTGGCATGTTCCAAGGCATTTGGAAAGATCTTAAGTCTGGAACTCACACTTGGCTTAATTTTAACACTGTCCTGTCCTGCTTAGGCAGAACAGAGGGATAACTCCACTTTCTGTGCCTGAGCTTTCAGTTATCCACAACTATACGCTCCTGACTCCTTATCTTGTGCCTTACCAGAAATTTCTCATAGTGTCCCAACTAAGTACTGGAGAGGCTGATATGTCCTTAGCATCACCAGTTAAATAAATCTGATTATAACAGGTGAATCATAGAGCTGACACTCATTCATCCATTCCTCCTAATGTAAATGATTTAATTTGTATCTTCAATTTTCTCTGAGTGTGGTTATGTGTAATTTATAATTCTGTCTTTAGAGAGAGATTGCCATAGCCTGTGATGATGGATAACTTACACTAATTATTAGGGTGTAAGGTATCCATTGTATATCATGCATCCCAGATTTCTGACAAATACACAGATTCTAAGTTTCTATTAACTGTAGTATACGTGAACAGAATGCATACAAATATGTTGCCTTAAAATGGATGTTTGTCTCACCAGCAGCTAGCTACAGGCAGAACCAATGAAGCCAAAACCTACAAAGACTCTTCAAGCAACATTCACTCTAAGCCTACCAGCCAAAGAGACAAAAGCACCAGATGACATTAATCTACGTCAGTGCCTTATGACCCACCAACCCTCAGTAGGTAATATTTCTCAGTATCTTCTCAACTTAAGATCACACATAGATAATATCCATTTGAGAAGCTGATCATATAGACAACTGAGAGATCACGCCTCTGGGCACTACGGGGTGTGCATGCATCATGGTGAAAGCAGCAAGGAGTTCAAACCCACACTTTGCTTCCCTTTGCTTCATTGAGCAGCACTTACTCCTACAAGGGATCTGAGTCAAATGCCTTTCAAAATGAGTAAGTACTCCAATTTTGTCACTTACAATTATTATTGAAGATACCTGTATTTTTCTTGTTAAGCAAGTTGACTCATTTAATATGAAGGCAATTAATTTTCTTGCTCGGTTCCAGGTAGGAGAGATTCATACAGAATTTTATTGGCATTGATAATGAACAGATAGGATTCCTGACATGTTAAATCCTGGCAGCTGTATGACTTAACTTTTTTTTTGCTCTTTGACAGAAGTGTTTTTTACCTGGACCCTCAGTGGCTGTGGTGTCACACAGGTATTCCCCGTGGTAGTTATGTCTGATTGTACTTTAAAGCTAGCAGTAGTGTGTAGAAAATGCAGTGAGGTGAGCTCTCCATTCCTTTCTGCAGTAACGCCTCTTAAGGATTTGTGTCAATAAATGGCAATCACTGCACTTTCTGCTGGCTCTGATGGCCCTGAAATATAGAAGGAATTGTTCTAAAGCCAAATAGAAAAGGGGAAAAAAATGAGAGAAAATAAGGATAGCTCAAGCCAAATAACAACAAAGAACACAGTAGTGAGCCAGGTCTCTCACAATATCCACAGAGAGTAAAGTTCTGAGGAGTACTGTATGTATTCCTTATAGTAGGTCAAACCCAGTACCTTCCTATCTCAGCCCTACAGAGGCTGGGGTCTCTTTAGCATGTTCGTTTCCATATAACTGGAGAAAACATTTGGTTTTTTTCCTCCACAGTACAGTTTGCTGTTAGACAACACACTTAAATCTTATCTGAAAATAATCAATTCCTCAAAGAGGAAACTTATGAAGGAAATGAGCAGTCAGCACAATGATTATCAACCACAGTCTCCAAAGCGCAGCTCTCTGGGGAGAGGTTTTAGCACTGGGTCTGGGTCTCACAGCTTGTTAATAGAAAAAGATACTGTGCAGTATCTGGTAAATCCAAGTTGGTCTACCACTGCTGCCCTCAAAGATTTCAGATGGCTGAAGGTGTGTGACTCTCATGAGCTCCTATGGAGCCAGAGATTATATTGTGTTGATGTAGTTGGGTGAATAGCCCTGCGGCAGGAAAATTAACCACACTCAATTAAAATGTTCTTTCTGTTGACAGAATTATCATATGTATTCCTGGCCAACAGTACAGAAACTACTACTGAATGGAAAAGTGAGGAGGGCTGCAAAATTAAAATCCAGGTCCTCTGTGATGAAATAGTGGTATATATACGAGAATGACATTGAAGAAGCCAATAAAAAAC